TGTAAGGACGGCCAGTCACTGACCACTAGGCCCATTAGTCACCTGTTAGTCCTCTAGTGGCTAGACAAGCCACAGCAGCAAGTCACTGTTGTGTGGATACTGTGACTCCTTCAACAAGGGGAGCCCTAGACACACCCACAAGAAGGCTAAGCGCCTGGGCTACTTTGTTCCTGACTGAAGAGTGCAGGTTGACATAGCAGGGTCCTCTCCCAGTGAGCCAAGTGAATACAGAGAGGCTACAGGCAGTGTGGACCTGGCTCAGTGAAGCTGCTACACAACTGATCCTCTCACTGCACACACGGGTCGGAGGGAAAACACCTCTGCCTAAAGCAAATGGTACAAACAGACTAAAAACATTTCAATTGCATTCTTTAAATGGGGGAATCATAGGTATGAGATCATGAAACAGCTCAGTAAAGCACGTATGAACCACCCGTCCTCAAAGACCAGAAGATTAATGGAGGAGTCAGCAAGTATTGAATACTGACATGTTCTAAGGGGATAAATAAGTCAGTAATTCGCTTAGGATGAATAGAAAAAATTAAATCTACAAAGGTCACATATGTAGTAGTAGGAGCGGCCGGGCTGCGTTCCGCCACCCAGCTAGCTTTACCCGAAATAATTACACAGGAAACTGTATTCTTTTAAACACCGCTTGGCCCATTTCTATCTAGCCTCTTCTAGGCTAGCTCTCGCACCTGGACTAGCCCATTTCTAATAATCTGCTGTAGCCCACGAGCTGGCTTACCAGGAATGATCTTAACCTGCGTTTGTCTGGAGTGGGAGAACCATGGCGACTTCCTGACTCAGCTTCTTTCTCCCAGCATTCTGTTCTGTTTATTTCTCCCACCTATGTTTTAACCTATGAGGACCAAGCAGTTTCTTTATTGCTTAACCAATGAAATCAACAGATTGATATATGACACTCCCACATCACACATATTTCCATAAATTACTCCATCAAAAATCTTAATCTTAGCAACAATAAAAATAAACAAACATTGATTGTCAAGAGAAGCCTTTGCTAAAAAATTTCAGTGGAAGAAAAGAGCTACAGAATGTCTGGATTTCTTCTCATGCACCTGCACTTATGAGAGCATTCATGCCCACAAACTCTAAGGTTCCAGACACTTAATAAACTGTGGAACCTAACGGCCAAGCACAGCTGCTTTGCAGTTGGCCTCCATCATTCCTCTCAGAGTAAGCAATGTAAGGGATAGTGGCAGCCAACAGAGAGCTGTGGCTTTAATGGGCCATGGTTCCATTGAATCAACATTTATTTCCTTGAGACAGCAAAGGAGATGAAAGCCGATGCTATTTAAAAAGTCAGGGCTTAAAGGCAACTCCAGGCACACAGGAGAAGGAGGTGAGGGCAGCACCTTAGACACGTCAATAGTAGCACAAATGGATTATGGGTAATGGTGGGCACAGGTCCTTGGCTTTTAGCACAAGTTTCACAGGCTTTACGATAAGACTATTACAAACCCTGTAGGAGCTATTCAGGAAAGGTGAACCGATGACAGACATTCTCTAAGGAAATACAAACGTGCTGTTATATAGTGGTAGCTCCCTAGAAAGCTCAAATTTAAATTTTAGTAGTAAGACAAGTAGAAATAAAAGTATGAATGAGCCTAAAAAGACATCTATGAAGGATGCAGCTAACAGACTCAAAATGTCAGAGACAAGCATTGTGTGGTTTATGCTCAACGCAAGGGCAAGAAGTGGGGAGGGCGGGATTGCAGTGTTTACAGGTCAATGGTGGGAAGAGCCCAGTTCAAGATGAAGTATGTTCTCACTCCTTCCAGTGAAAGAGATGGGCTTAGAAGAGTCAGGGTAAACAACACACATGAGGATGGAGTGGAGCTCCCAAAGAAGAAGAGTCTCAATGATTTCCAATGCTCCCAACTCAGACGACTATTGGAGAATAAGCACGCCCTCCCCTTTTCTCATTTAGCACCCTCAGAGGGGACAAGGAAAGTTACTTTCATACTGATGAGAACCTAAAGTTCTCTGGGTAAGTTTTATTGCCCAGGTTTACCAGCGATGGGTGGGCTTGCAGCCTGAGGCTAAATGTATCTATCAGACACCCAAATGAACAGGCATAAGCAGGCAGGTCCACCAGCATCAGCAGCAGGAGGAAAGAGACCTTCAAAGAGCACCAAAATTCAAAAGGGGCTTATTGAGTATCTCAGACTGAACCAAGCAAAGGCACATCCTGGGGCTGAGTCAGAGAGACATGATGCCTCTCAGTGGAGCTCAGTCCCGTGAGGGCTGCTGTTGGAAAAGAGGACATGTGGGGACCTGAAAACAGGAATAAAGTCGAATCGTTGTCATTTCTTCTGAGTCTCCATTAACTCAGTGTTTCAAAATTCTGAAAAAATTAACAAATAAACCACTACCACTTATTCTCATTTATTCTCAAATATTTATTCTAATTTGCTCAAATACACATGCTAATAGGACTTCTTACTAAATATGCAAAATCCACTACCAACCCGAATTTTCACCCCCTAAGACACTATGACTACAGACTCCACCTACTTGTGTCATAGGACAGGGAGAAAGCAAGCTGGTACTGACCCGGAAGCCTTATCCCTACTGGCTAGTTCTCATAATTTTGGAAGGGTCTATGCATGCTCCCAAGGGAGAATAATTGGCAGTTTTATTCAGCTGTGAACTCCGGCAGCAACAGTAACAGCTGGCCTTGTGAGTTATCCCCTAGAGCAATAGTGGCATGGGTGCTGTGAGAGCAAACAGGAACCTTCTGGTTGAATTCAAGGCCCACCCCACAATATAAAACTCATAATTAGTACCATTAACTGGTTCCAAAACCCCTGGCTGACTAAGTCATAGGCGCTAACAAAGAATATAACACTCATATTCTGCTGGATAGACATAGCAATAACTTGCTCTTAAATCTTATCTTTATACCCGCTAAAAGGTATATCTATCTGTCAATCCTCACCAGAGAAGCTTCTTTTTGCAGTAGGTGACAACTAATACAGATACCCATACGTGGTCAGCATGCAGAGAATATGAGACTGTGTGGGGCTCAGCTCCAAATGGGACGTCTATAAATGGGAAGAGCTCATGAAGTCCCACTCCTAGCAGAGGAACTACTGGCAATTGATGGCTACTGGGGGAGGGAAAGGTCAGTTTTCTTCAGGGATATGGTCTCGGAAAGGCTATCCACGCTCTGGTAGACGGTTCTACATCCACGCACCTATAGGCAGCACTATGTGAACTCAATGGGTTTAAAGGCAGAGCGCATGAAGTTAGCGGGGGAAAGTTCTAGAAGTGACTAGGGGAGCAATTGGAGGAACAGGAGTGATAGGTGGCTTTGATTTAAAAAAAATTATAATGCACATTAAGTTAAAATGTATTAGGTAACATTATAGCTGTAACATTTAAAATCAAAATTCACATGAAATAGTTTTATTCCACTACTTTCTCTTAAAAGCCTCTTTAAAAGGCACTGGAGCAGCATGGAAGCTCTACAAAGCCAATGTAGCTTAACCTGAAGATGAACAAGTTATGGAGCATAAGATTCTAAGAATCTCAGAAATTATTCAAAATTAAAAGTTCTTTGGTAAAAATAAAAGAAAGCCGGGCGGTGGTGGCTCACGCCTTTAATCCCAGCACTCAGGAGGCAGAGGCAGGCGGATCTCTGTGAGTTCGAGACCAGCCTGGTCTACAAGAGCTAGTTCCAGGACAGGCTCCAAAACCACAGAGAAACCCTGTCTCGAAAAAACCAAAAAAAATAAATAAATAAATAAAAAAATAAAAATAAAAGAAAATAATCAAGAAAGAAACCACTACCACTTACTCTCAAGGAAGCATAGGATATTTATTCTAAGTGCTGGCTGTTGTAATTTGATCAGAACACGTGTTAACAAAATATAATCTTGCTGAATATGAAATGCATCACCAACAGCGAATTCCGCTGAGATGCTAAGAACATTGTCTGTTAGACAGACCAATCAAGGAGGACGGCAGACGGAGGGTAAAGCTCCAGAACAGGAGGCTACTTCATTAATTCCAATCCAGTTGGTGCCTCAAGGACATCCTCTGTTTAGAAGCAAGAATAGTCACGGCAGAAAGCCGAGACTTGGCGCTCTTCTCCTTTGTGAATCTTAACCTAGGTCTCTTTACTCCTCCCACCCTCCATTCTCCCAGTCTTCCCAACAGCGGACAGCTGTTCACAGAGCCAACAGAGCACACCGACTCCCTCAACCCCCCATGCCCTCTCTCTAGACCAAAGGAAGCTCACTCAATGCCTCTAGAGCCTAAGGAGGAGGTAGCAATGAGCAAAATGGCAGGTAACGTAACATGCATGTGTGTATAAACACGTGTTTCGTGAACAGTAAAATTATGTGAAGCCGGGGAGGAGGCTGAAGGGAGTTAGTAGTAATTAGTTCCTGTGATTGCTACCAAGTGCGATGTTACAATTAAAAAAGGTAAGCTCGATTTATTTATATGATTTTTTTTAAGTTCGATTTTTTTTTTTTTTGATTTTTCGAGACAGGGTTTCTCCGTAGCTTTTGGTTCCTGTCCTGGAACTAGCTCTTGTAGACCAGGCTGGCCTCGAACTCACAGAGATCCGCCTGCCTCTGCCTCCCGAGTGCTGGGATTAAAGGCGTGCGCCACCACCGCCTGGCCTAAGTTCGATTTTTTTATGTATACTTCTGAACATGCCAAATTAAGTTTGCTTTAAGAACACCGTCTGGGACAAAGGAGTGAAGGCATCGCTACTAGTTTGGGCACTAAATTCTGCGGGTTTGTTTTCATCACCTGGGAGAAAAAGAAGCGAGGCAGGAGGTTCAGTCATACCTTCACCATAGAGAATTCCCTCTTCTGCAGGCCAGCTCTGTGGACTCACAGCCTAGTGCCATGCCAGATACAGCTGCTCTCTTATGATCGCAAAATACTACCCTGCCCAGGACTGCACAAGACAAGCTGCATTGCTTTCCCACAGCAATGCCATTGGAGTGGCTGCTTACCCGTTTGTCAATATCATTGTGTTGAAGCTGCACAAAGCGTGCACTGATGGCTGCAATGTAACTCTGCTGATTGGAGAACGCAACACGCCCAGCACCTTTGGGGTACTTCAGCTCTGGATCTGTGTCGATGCCAGCATAGCAAACACCACCATACAAACGGTCCATTATCATTGCCAGTTCAACTGTAAGAAAATAAACACGTCTACGTATAATTATTTGGAACAACTCACCCAGGAAAAGGAGGATCATGCAGTCTAATCATGAAAAGAAAACCCATATGAGGGCTTATGAAGAACATCCACAGTCTTGCAACTCCAGTAGAAGAGCTACTCTGGATATTTCAAAAGAAAACACAAAACAGTTTACACATGTATACACAGGGGTAGGTGGGCATGACTCAAGAGCACTGTATCAACACTCTGATTAAGTGAACTACCTAGCCGTACTGGCCTGGGCCTGGGTAGGTAAAGCAATTCATGGTGACCTAACAAGTTATGGAGAAATGTCTACTTACAGAGCTTGAGACTGAATGAAACACTTCAGTGCCTCACTGCCTATTAGAGCTCAACTGGAATCAAGTCCTTATTCTACCTAGAGACGATCGATATATCTACAGATATAATAAAGTTTACAAATATAAATCCTGTACTGACAAAAAAGGATAATGAAGAGTAGATTCTATTCCAACTGAGAAACCTTCATGGCATCTCAAATAGAATTCTCAGTAATACTAGTTAATAGTAACACCAGTGAATAGCCAGGCAGCTGTTTCCAAGCTGTATAAATGCACACCCTGCATCTTGTTAGAGGTCTAAGCTAACGGTCTGCTCTGCAGTGCTTGCCAAGTTTCCTGCCTTGATTTGGAATATTTACAAAATGTTTATAGTGAAGTTTGGGGATCGGACCATTCCAAGGGTCTGATATTAAAAACCTATGCCCACCATCGGTCAGGGTACCCTTGAGAGACATGTGGCACTTACCTGCGCTGCCAATTGCCTGAAGGTAATTGTTTACTTGAAAGCACCATCTCCGCCTATGGCCATTCCTTTCAGGCCACCGCTAAGTCCAAAGACTCAGGCCTACCCCTCGGAAGTGACCTAAACACCCATTTTCTTTCAAAACCTACATTTGGCATGTAGAAAGAAGAAAACAGGGAAAACAGACAGCGACCAGAGCCAATGCAACAAACACCACCACACTCTGGTGGGGACAGGCAAGGGTTCTGCAGGGCTCAATGGTGTGTTAGGATACCCCTGAGTTCTACAGATAGATGTAAGGCCAAGAATTACTCATTCCGGCATAGTGAAGTTGCAAAGGCAATAAGAAAAACGGCCACCATGTCAGAAAGGCTATTTTTGTACTTCAAGTTTCTTTTTATACTAGACTGCCTAATATTGATTCTTTTCTAAATGCTCACTTTTTTTTTTTAAATAGGAAGAACGACCTATAGCAAAGCAGTGAGTTTCAAGTGAGGAAATAAACTAGCCATAACTAGCCCGAGAGAAAGGGCTATGAAGACCAAGCAGCAGAAAGCCATCCCAAATGTCCCAAACGGTCAGGATCATTGAGTCCCAATAACCAGCAGCACTACTGATTAAAAAAGCTAAGTGGACCGTGCTGCAGTCTCCGGCAGCAACTTGAATATCATCACTTGCACAGCGCAACGAGATCTGCACCTGGACCCTGAATGTCAGGTTAGTGGTTCCTCCCACTGCAACCTTTGATGGCCTAAGCTTTTCCTCACATGGACAGTGCTATTCTCAACAGAAAGCAGGGAACTCAAGGGAGGACTGGAAAACATAGCCATTAATGAATTTCTTTTAGTAGGATAAGAAATCTCAAGGCCCAGGAAACTAGACACTAATTTTCCAAAGACCCGGTTTGCCCTAGAATGGAAAAGAAAGAAAACACTCCCGAGGCCTGGTGAGTGGCCAGGAAAAGAATGCTGGCAAGGAACCAAGTGGCATTGTCTTCCATAATAAGGACTCAAAAAGGTATCTCAATTACAAAGGAAGAGAGTGGCTGAAAGCTGGGAGCTCTAGAGTGCTACCATTGCCGCTCTATACCACAGCAGTCTCCAAAGGAGTTTCAGGGATCCCCTCATTCCAGAAGTCTCTTTACATAAGCAAAAACATTCCATTACTTTGTGAATCTCTCACTGGGCCAAAGACTAGATCATGACTGACATTACTGGCAGTTAATCACGTCTGCTAAAAGCAGGAACTCCCATCCAAGTATGTGTTTATGAAAATCATATAATTTTCCTTCATGAGCTACATAGTTATTTTTTGCATGTATGTACACGTGTGCATGTTCATTAGTATAGGAAATGCACATGTATGTTTATGTGTGTGTGGAAGACAGAGGTCACAGGTGTGATTTCTCAAGAGCTTGGTTTTAATACAGAGTCTCTTGCTGAGCCCTAAAGCTTGCATGCTAGGCAAGGCTGGCTGGCCAGTGAGCCCCAAAGATCCTCCAGCCTCTGCCTTCTCAGCACTGGGAGCATAAGTATCCACTACGTTGCCTGAGCTTGCTTACGTGGGTTAGGACTGAGCTTTCTCCCCAGTCCTATAGTATTTTCTTGGACATCAAAACGTCTCCAGACATTTGAGCAATAATGCTTTACCCAAGTAAAAGGCAATTTGTTGAAAGGCTAGGAGAAACCAAAGTGGCTAAAGGAAGAATTTTTTTCAAGAAAACCGACAAATTTTCATCTAATTCACAGCTTGGGGGGGGGGGTATTTATTTATTTATTTATTTATTTATTTTGTCTCATGTAGCCCAGACTGGCTTCAAACTCTGTGTAGCTAAAGATGACCTTGAATTCCTTATCCTTCTGCCTCTACCTCTTAAGTCCTGGGATCACAGGCATGTGCCACCACAGCTGGCTTCAGTGGCACTGAGGACTGGACTCGGGGCGTTGTGCATACTAGGCAAGTATTTTACCAACTGAGCCACACCTCAGTCTCCTGAATCTATATTTTAAGTCTGTTATGATCACCTTTGGAGAAAAAAAATCAAAAGCAATCAAACAACTATCTACAGTTGACCATTTCCTCAAACCTAAGTCTTCCTGTGGTGCTCTTCCTGAACTCATTCTATGTTAAAACAATAGGAGACGCCCCTTAAATACCAACCAGAGTTTCCAATATCGAGAAAAGAAGTCACTTTACATAAGTAATCCTTTTTCAATAATTTTAATGCTATAAAGACAGCAGTAGAAACAAACTTCGTCCATCCGTTACCAGATGACGGGCGACTAACAGAAGCAGGGAAAAATCAAGACTCTTGAGTCTTACACAGTTCTAGTCTGAGAGCTCCCCAGTTTTTAGTATTTGTTTTTATTTGTGTGTGTTCGGGTGCCTGCAGGGGCTGGAAGAAGGGGTTGGAACCCTTGGGTCTAAAGTTAATAAGCATTCGTGAACCACCCAATGTGGGCGCTGGGATTTGAACTCCGGTTCTCATGAACATCACGTGCTCTTAACTGCTGAACCATCTCGCAGCTCCAAATATTTCTATGTTTTAAATAGAAGATGTAAGTTTACTGGCAAATGTTGCGATACACAGCTACCTTTAGAGACTAGGTTTAGAAGTCTCTAAAGTATCACTAGTGAACACAACGATGTCTTGTACATGCCCCCTTCTTCTGATGGGAGGAAAGTAGGAATGAAAGAAACGGGCTATCATTTAGACTTTCTAGAAGGGAGAGAGAAAATCAAGACAGTCAGTAATTGTCTGGACAGATAAATCTTCATGGATTCATCTATCTCTGCAGACATGAATCCATGATCTTGCTGTGAAATCTGAGTCCTAATCAAGTCTATGTCCTATTGAATAAGCCAGCCTATGATGACAGTGAACCTCAGTCTAAACCTCTCTCTGTAGAGAATGGGAAGGGGAACTCCATGGAGCACAGTAAGAAACTTAACCCAAGGAAGACAGGGGTTCGAGGACCAGGCACACAGATGAGGAATTTGGAGTCCACATGGAGTTCATGCAGGCAACAAAGAAGAGTCTACAGGACGTGCCTCAAAACCACTTCCGGTCACTCCCAGTGTCCTAGGGTCTGTCTAGTCAGCACAGAAGTAAGAAGCTGGCAGGAGTAGGAGCTCTGTGAGGGCATGCTGCAGTTTAGACTGTGTGCTCTGCACTCCTAAACCAAATCACTTCATGATGGGCTTCCACAGTAGCAGCAAAGCCTCCTCTGAGTCCTGTTCCCTTGCCGGCTCCTGTGCGGGAGCTTCACAGAGTCTCACAGCAGAGAGGGAGCAAGAAGAACGCAGCCTTGGGAGCATACAGCATTTCATGGATTCTGTCTTGAAGCTGAAGCTGAACCCTATTATGGTTGCTTGGACCTGCTCCTGATTCTTCAGCTGTGAAAAGGACTTCAGTTCAGAGAGAAGATCTTGATTTCCCCATTCTACCCCTCTTGTTTAATTACTTTTTAAAGCCAGCCTGAAGGCAATGTCTAAGTCTGGGACACTGTGAGACAAGTAAGGTGGCAGAGGAATGAGGATTTCGAAGAGAAATATCACCACATTCATCTTTATAGATTCTAAATTAAGATCTAGAAGTCCTATTTCTTCTCTTTAGAAATAAACAAAAGTGACAGGAAAAGCATGAGGCACCTCTCGGACGATAAGGGCAGACGGACTTTCTAGGTCTCCCACAATTGTTAAGCTGGCTCATAAGGGTTCAAGAGGAGGCTGCACACACTTCCATTCTGTGTCATTTTTAAACGATGGCACAGAACACTAAGTCAGAAGGGGAGCATTTATTTAAGTTCATTAAATCAAACTGCTACCAAGTTGCTCTTTTACTGAGACAATATCCTAGGTCTCCACTGGACAAAACAGCTTCCATCGATACACAGAGCCTAGAGCTGAACCACGGAGACTGGGGACTTGCTGTTTTCACTTACTGCCTCCTCACGGAAAACACAGTCTTCTGCGGACAACCTCACAAGGTTAGCATAAAGACTAAGCATGAGTAAGCAGCTCTAAGCACACTGCTGAGTACACAGTGGCACTTGACTGTTCAGGGTTTTTTCTTCCTGCTCATAAATCTTTGCTTTAAATTAAGCTGGCTTGGTTGCTGCTCTATAAACATGAATCCATCCCAGCCTAACTATGGCTTTATGCTGGCTCAGTCTGTCATGGATATGACAATGTTTGACAACACCTATGGGCAAAGGTTCGTCTGGGAGGAGGAGGGTGGAACACACATTAAACATTATAAAGTACTTATCCCTACAAGCATGTCAAACCTGGTGTTTACTTGGGTCACTTCATCGTGAACTTTGGGACTGGATGAGAAAGTGTCTGCTGCTGAGAAACTTGACACGCCGTCACTTTGGCTGTCTACCATCTCACAGAACAGAAAGGGGTATGGTTCCAAGACCATTTCCTAACTGCAAATCAGGGTGTGATCCCCAGTTCATATGCGCTATCAGAATATTTGGACAAAATGTCTGGAATAATGATCCTGAGAAATCGTGAGATATATATTCTCTCCATATGGTATATATCATTCAGAAGTCTACATGCCTGGCATGCATCGTGCCATGGATTAAATTTCTTACACCATAATGGATCTTTACCTTGACGTAAAAGCCATCATAGAGCAACAGGGGTGGGGAGCAGGAAGAGAACGAAACTTCAGGATTAATGGGGAGAAAAAGAAAGGAAAGACTTAGCAGAGCAATGGTTAAGAAAAATCAAAGACCCAACAACAGAGAAACAATGACTCTAGGAGCTCAAGACCTCAGTCTCTCAAGGTGAAGCTGTTCTGAAAGGCCTGGTCTGAGCAAATGTTGGAAGGAAGTCATCAAATGAAAAGCGTGGGTCTAAAGCCTATTGATTTGGGAAGAAGAGATTCCAAAACTTAGGCACAACCAAGACACCCAAATCAAGAAGATGGAGTGGGAGGAACACTCATGCAAAGAAAGTAGAGAACACTGTGAAACCAGACATTCCAGTCTCTACTCGGTCTCCTCATAGGCCCTGCCTGTCACTGATTTATTGTCAGAGGGAAGAGGGGTGTATCTTGGAGAGGTCCCAATGCCACAGGGATATACCGAAGGGCTTCTGTGTGGGGATTCGGAATACTATGTTGCTCGTTACCACTTGGAAAAAGGTCAGCATGCGATTGTCTCAGTAACTCACAGAGAAGCAGACAAACGGCCTAGTTCTTCAGTGGGCTCTCAAAGGAATGTGCAGACTTTATCCACATGGGGGCAGGGTGAGTCTACTTATAGTGTCGTCTCCCCAAGGGAAATGGGGTGCTCTGAGAAACACCAGATTTAGGACAGACCATCCTTAGCTTGCTTCAGTTAATCACAGGAGTGATGGAAAGGGGGACCAGATACAGACAGCAATGTGCGTTACCCGACCTCGACCCACAACTCATCGGGTTCCACTTTCACTGGATCCCCTTACTTCTTACTCCTCACCCTCAAGTTAATTTCTCTAGGCCCATGATTTCCCCTGCCAATCTGAATTTTAAAAAGGAGCTTTGATCTGGGTATGGTGGGTCATGTTTGGCAGGAGAATTATGAGTTTGATGACAGTTTGGGCTCCATAGTGAGACCCTGTCTCAAAAAACAAAAAGTTTTGTCAAAGCGTAAAAATATTTAATTCAATAGACACTATAAGCTCAGTTAGGATGATACTTGCTTCTTTCAAGATATTTCTATTCAGATGGATAAGGGCTACATTTAGAATAAATATTATGATAGTCCCTATCTTACATTTTCAAAAGTAAAACAAAACAAAACAAAACAAAACAAAACCCTCAAAGGGGCTGGAGAGATGGCTCGGCGGTTAAGAGCACTGCCTGTTCTTCCAAAGGTCCTGAGTTCAATTCCCAGCAACCACGTGGTGGCTCACAACCATCTGTAATGAGGTCTGGTGCCCTCTTCTGGCCTGCAGGCATACAAGCAGACAGTATAAATAAATAAATAATAAATAAATAAACAAACAAACAAAATATTCAGTACTAGGCCGGGCGGTGGTGGCACACGCCTTTAATCCCAGCACTCTTTAAAAAAAAAAAACCCTCAAAAGATTTATAGGAATATCATAGATGGTAACATTCCAGTCTTCCAATCACAACAGTTTTTGGCCAAGATAAAGGGAAAGAAAAAAAAATATTTCCTAATATTTCCTAAAATCCAAAGCCTTACCTACTAAGTGAGGCCCAAGGAAGACCCTGCACTGAGACGCTTGATAAAGAAAGCCAGTCTTCAGCCAGAGCGATGGCTCAGTAGTTAAGAGCATTTGCTGCTTTTGCAAGCCCCAGGTTTGCTTTCCTAGCACCCACGTCATATGGCTCACAAGCACCTGTAAGTCCAGTTCTGGGAATCCAAAGTTCCCTGTCTTCCACAGGCATCAGCCAGCACATGATACACATGAACTCTTGCAGGCATACAGAAATTTAAAAATATTTTGAAAAATGCTCTGTAATATTTCAAGAGCAAAATACAGAATCATGTTAAAGAATATAATTTAAGCCGGGCGATGGTGGGGCACGCCTTTAATCCCAGCACTCAGGAGGCAGAGGCAGGCGGATCTCTGTGAGTTCGAGACCAGCCTGGTCTACAGAGCTAGTTCCAGGACAGGTTCCAAAGCCACAGAGAAACCCTGTCTCAAAAAAACCAAAAAAAAAAAAAAAAATAGAATTTAGTCTTCAACTATCAATACATTCCTTGTGTTCTGTTCTGAAGCTTTGGTTCTTTATAGAAAATGATCTGTTTAACAGGATGGTGAGATGTTCACTCAGCTCAGTACGGCATGCCCTTGCTGATTTATTTAATAATGGGCTTCCTAGACACTAGGCACCAGCTGCATTCTAGAAATGCTGGCAACTGGGCTGGAAGTAACAAGGCAAGTAGATCAGTAGACCTAAAGTAAGTAGACCTTACTAAGCCTCTACTACATATCTGCCAGAACAAACCAATTTTAAGACAAAAACAGCTAACTTAAAAAAAAATCCAAGACATATTAGGTATATTCTCTAAATAGAACATATATCCTATTTCTGATTAGATAACTGAATATACTTTTTAAAAATACTTATTTTCATTTTTTGGCATTTTGAGACAAGGATCTTATGTAATGAAGGCATGCCTTGAACTCATTAAGCAGCTAAGGGTAACACTGAACTCTTGATGCACCTGCCTTCTTCTTCCATGTACAGGGATGACAGCTGTATGCCCAATGCCCAGCTTTATAACCTAGTATCATTTTTGTCTGATTCTAGAACTTGCAGCATCTTGCTGAAGCTCAACATTGAGTTCAATGTAGCTTATTAACTACAGTTCCTGTGACTTAAAATCAAGACCTGACAAGTTAAAATCAGTTGTGGTTGTGGGCCCTGTGTGGTTCTGCCTGACCTGAAACTATGTAGACAAGTTGACCTGGAACTCAAGAGATCCACCTTTCTCTGCCTGGGCTTGCAGGTGTATGCCACTATATCCAGCTTTAGGACTTGTAAAGGTTTTTCATATGGGAAAGTAAGGGGGCAGGGTCAAATATTAAAACAACTTCCATTGTATTGTGCAGTTAGTTGCAAGGTATAGCAGTGATTATCCAACTGTAAAATCTGTGTGCAGTGAAACTCTCAGTGAGGTTCTTCTTCTCCAGCCTTGCACATCGACAGTCAGAAGAGCCATGAGTGTTCTACAGCACCCCCTCACATCGCCTGTTCCTAAACACACATATAACTTAGGACCAAAATGCTGCAGCTGCTCTTGTCTCGAGTTGTTCCCAATGACTTGGCCCTTCCTGGATTTTATCAAGTGATTTCTTTTGGCTCAGTTTTTCATTAGAGAACCCAGAGAGCTCTGATTTTTAGACATAGTATAAAATTAACATAATCACAATATTTTTTAAAGTTCTTTAAAACAGAATTATGATCATATCCCATTTATTTTTTGAGACAGGGGCTCACTAAGTAAGTTAGCCCAAAACTCAAGACCCCTTCTGCTTCAACCTCTCCGTGCTAGAGTTACAAGTTACAAGCCATTAACTTCTTCTAGAGTTCTAAAGGGCTTGTGTGGTTGGGGTATGTGTGTGTTTAGACTGTGTAGACTGTGCATGTGCGTGCATGTGCATGTGTAGTGTATGTGTATGTCTCTGTGTGTGTGTGTAGTGTGTGTGTGTCTCTGTGTGTGTGTGTGTGTGTGTGTGTAGATTGGAGTAAGAATTCAAATTATGTTGAGATTTCTATATAGTCCAGCCTGGCCTTGTCTTCACTCAGTAAGTAGCTCAGGTAAAACTCAGACTTGAAATCATCATGTGTCAGCCTCTGGGATGCTCAGCTTACAGGCGACTGTCACTGCTCCTGGCTTGTCTCCGGGTTTACACGTAGAGGCATCAGTTCAATGCCACTTCAAATCTCTAGTTCATTATGACTCGGTTTACCCTCGGCTGCATGAATGTTTCATCCTTGGAAACAAATTAAAACAACAGCAACAACAAACAACAGCAACAACGGAGGTAGGCCAGGTGTGGGCCTGCAGTCTCAGCTACTTGACAGGCTGAGGCAGGAGGAGTCTAAGGCCTGCTTGGTCTACACAGTGAGTCCCAGGCCAGTCTGGCAACTTTGGGAGACTGTCTCAAAATAACAGTAGAAAGCAAGTGAGGATATGAGTGCTTGGTCTAGAATGTGTGAGGTCCTCAATATATCATTTCTATCATTTCTGGACATTTTTATTTCTGGAAATCATTAAAACTAATTAGATCCTGCCTTGCTGGGGGAGGCCCAGGGGTCTAGTATAATTCCCAGGTACAATTCCCAGCAGTAGTTTGACTTCTCAATGGCCGAGCTCCCCATGCGCTGGACAGATCTCTGATGGTAACTGCAACACCAACTTGCATGAGCATGCGCACTGCCAGATATTATTATTTTAATGTGCGGGTAAATAGGAAAGAATTGAATAGAGCTCATCCTTTCCACAAAATGGTTTAATGAAATGGACTCTTGCATCAGAAGGCTATACAGCATTTTGGGAAAAATTCTTAACCATAGAAAAGTCAGCTCAGTGAAACCGACATGGCCATGGCAGACTTCCTTTTGGAGGCTGTGCCCGTCTGACTGGAGACCCAGACAGAGAGAACACATTTGGTTTTTGTTGTCATCCCTTTTGTTGTGGCGTTACTATTTCCACTCACCAGCTCGAAGGGGTCGTGGAACTCCCCCAACAAAGATAGTTTTTCTGGGGTCCAAAGGCTGAGAACCATCCATTACAAAGTCACTGTCACTTAGGTTCCACGGTCGAATTTGCACCTGAAAAAAAGTTGTTTACTTGGTCCTTACTTCATTTCCATCAACCCCAAATGAGAATAAGATGACTCAAGATAAACCCAACGTTTGTGCATTTTACAACATCCAAGTCCCAAACGAAATCAGGTTAATTACTAAACCCGATCTGCATTAGGTGCCTCTCGGTCTTGGGGAGGCTACTCAACACTTAGACACTATGCACAAACCACCTGTGTCATTAAAAGGCAGTCTCTGACAAATCCTGGGTTTTGAATCCAGTTCATTTGAACACAGCACAGACTGTAGGAAATTTGTCACAGTACACCATTTAGTTTTTTGTAATGAATCCATCTACAGGGAACAGAAAATTAGGAATATTTTCTAAGAATTACCTATTTGCCTGGATTTTGAATTCTCATCACCGCCCCAAGTTAAAATATTTTCCTTTCAAACTATATGACATAACACAGATTAACACTCAAGTTAGCCACCAATCACAGAGATACCAAGTACTGACACTTAGAGAAGTGTCTAATTATTAAACTGATTTTCCTACACAAGGTTGATAAAACAAAGGCAAATTTAGTGTGTGTGTGTGTGTGTGCACAAGGTTGATAAGACAAAGGCAAATTTAGTGTGTGTGTGTGTGCATGCACACGCATGCACAATTGTGCATGCAAGAGAGAAAGACAGAGAGACAGACAAGGGGCTGGGTGGGGCAGGGGAAAGAGAGCCATGCTTGTTGCCGGAGTTGGTTCTCCTCCTTTACTATGTCAGTTCTAGGGTTTGAACTGAGGTCAGTAGGTATGGTAGTGAGCACCTTTAACTGCTGTGCTATTCCACCAATCCATAAGACTTCAAGGAATATAAAAAGAAACCTTTACAACTTACTTCGGTTCTAAACTTCCTAACAATTTTCTTCTTAGAGGATGCGTGTTTGTGTGTGCGGTGTATGTGTGTATATGCATAGGCATATATGCCGAATGAGCAGACGTCAGAGAACAATGTCTACAGTCAGTTCCCTCCTGAGGATCCCATAGACCATCAGGCAGTGGCACTGTCAGGCAGCAAACAACTTTACCTACTGCGCCACCTTATCGCCTGCCTACATTTTTTAAAATTTGGATTCTTAATTTTATGCCCATGGTTTGTACTATTTTATCATACACTAAAAAATTAAATACCTTATCAGTTTACCCCTAAAAAAAATTCCTTTTAATCACAACAGGATTACAAATAATAGCTTAAAAACAAATGGACAAATCAAAAGCAAGGCTACTGTTTCCACCCTAAAAGCTAAGGGTGACACTGCTCCCCAAAAGCAACCAGTCTGGCAAGAGGGTGGCCACCGAGAACCAGCTGGGAAATGGCACCTGTCTGTCCTTAAGGAATAAATATGCCCGTCCTCTGGCTCTCCCAGATTGAGGCAGGACACAGAACAGGTGAATTTCCGTACGTTAGTATCCACGGAATTCATTTCCGGTCTCTGTGGCCTGGCTCAGCACACCTGGCGCTCCGCTCTTGCCAACTCTGCCTCTGTCCGCCTCCAGCTCCTCTAAAACTGGCACTGCCCCTTAGAATGCACAGCCTGCACAGCCCTTAAAACTGCTACCAAGTTTACACAGGCAATTTTTTTAGAAGAGGTTTTTTTTTTAATTTTTTCTTTTTTTTTCTTTTTTTTTAAACATGGGTGCTCTCACTAGTCAGCAAGAAACCACAAAAAAAAAATTCAATCTCTTCCTTAGACTCTGAAAACGGGGGCCTGTTAGCAATGAAATTTCTTCCTTAGACTCTGAAAACACGGACCCATTAGCAATTCCATCACCACTCCGAAACTTGATCCATCTTTATGTCACAAAAGCTTCTTTTCTGTTAAATATTGTCAGCTTGGCTAAACGACTAATCCCTGGGGAGTCCCACAAGGTGACTTCACCCTTCATGAGGGTATGTCATTAATTTTTAATTACAAACACAAGAATTTCCTGATATTGTAGGGATAAAGACCTAGTGTTACCAGTTAAAGAAATGGGATTGGTCTTCTGCACAGAATTCTCTCCTACCTACGCAGCTGTTAGGACACCCACTCGGCCAGCTGACTTTGGTCAAGGTCACTAGCCCCCCACCCTCTTTTTGCTTCAGTTGCTGTCTCAAGGTATTGCTCAGGATGGTCTCAAGAACTCCTGGACTCAAATAATCCTCCAGTCTCAACCCTCCACCCCCATGTAGCAGAGACTACAAAGTTGTGTACCCCTGACTCCAACTGGAAACACATCACTTTGTTTCAAAATGAAAATAATTCCCATGTGGTTTCCATAGAGATCTGGTTTCATTTCATCAAAATTACAGGAAACATATTACAGACTCTGAAATTGCTGTGTGCTATAACTGTTCAAAGGAACGCTGCCGAAGACCTGGGACCTTCCTGTGAGAGCTTTCATCATTGATGATGGCCTTCCTTCCCCTATCACACCCCCACTTCATCATCTCACACACAACCCCATTCCTTTGCTCTATTCTTGGCATTACAGCTTAGGTAAAAACACAGGAAGAAGGCTTAGGACACAGTGCTGATCAGCCCTATTCATGAAACCTGCATTTCCCAGCTGCTGCCCAGAACTGGCACCTCCACAGAACTATGCAATGCTGGCACAGACCTACGTCAGCACTCTCTCCAGCAGCACAGACTTCCCTCTCACAATGGCTGCTCTCTCTGAGATACAAGCTGCTTTCACAGACTTGTGCCTCCCTGCAAGCGACAATGCTTCTATAAGCACTTATGAGAGAAAAATGCACAGCTTGTTCTGCTTCAGTTTCATGTTTGAATTATGCATTCCTAGGAAGGCACTCCTGAGGACCATGAAATCTACGTTTGGCTGAATTATGTGTATTCTAAATTCTTATCTTCTGAATCAGTAATATTTTACACAAATCTTGCTGGCATAAACATTTATTTATGCTACATAGTAACTTTGAACACCAGCGTTCAATAAGTCGCGGGGAATGCACCACTAATAAAACCCATAGTCAGTGGTGAAAGCACAAACTCCCCTTCTGAGGTCTCACAATGTGCAGTGCAGAATGTAAGTCTTCAGGGTTGCGGTGTCAGACCACTGCTATTCGGGGAAAGCTGTAGATTACCTGCTCCTAGAAGTTTCGGGGCATTCACAGATGCACTTAATTAAAAACTCGAAGGAAGTCTACAGGAATGAAACCTGCTCAACACTGTTAAACACAACATATCAAAAATTTTTCTATGCAATTTTTAATTAATTAATTTATTTAATTATTTTGAATTTTCGAGACAGGGTTTCTCCGTAGCTTTTTGGTTCCTGTCCTGGAACTAGCTCTTGTAGTCCAGGCTGGCCTCGAACTCACAGAGATCTGCCTGCCTCTGCCTCCCGAGTGCTGGGATTAAAGGCATGCGCCACCACCGCCTGGCTTCTATGGAATTTTTTAACATAACACCTACTACCGTTCATATTTGGACAAAATTGCCTTGCTGCAAAGTCTACCATAAAGTACCCTGGATGACTGGCTGGCCAGAACACAGCTGAAAAGATCTGAGATTCAAGGCATTTTCCTTATTTCCTGTTATTGCTTTGTAAAGGTTACCTCTACAGACATCAACTTCAAATAGATAAGAGTAAATTTAAAGCCAGGTGGTGGTGGCGCCTTTAATCCCAGCACTCAGGGAGGCAGAGACTGTCAGATCTCTGTGAGTTCAAGGCCAGCCTAGTCTACAGAGCGAGTTCCAGGACAGTCTCCAAGACTACAGAAAAACGGTCTTGAAAAACAACAACAACAACAAAACATAAATGTAATATAGTAAATTAGTTAATACATTTAAGTATTAGACAGCTGTCCAAAAAATTAAAAGTCCTCAGACTAAATTTCATCAAATATATGTTTTTTTTTTTTTTAAATATTTATTTATTTATTATGTATACAGTATACAATATTCTGTCTGTGTGTATGTCTGCAGACCAGAAGAGGGCAGCAGACCTCATTACAGATGGTTGTGAGCCACCATGTGGTTGCCAGGAATTGAACTCATGACCTTTGGAGGAGCAGGCAATGCTCTTAACCACTGAGCCATCTCTCCAGCCCTCATCAAATATATGTTACCAAATCACTTTGGTTATTTTTGCTACCAATAAAGAATAAAACACTAGATATGGATTTAAATTTAAAACTAAAATTTCATTCACATAAAGATAAAGGTGATTAGTAGAAATAAAATCAGGTCAACTACTAAGCAAACATTAAGAAACAAATGGATCATTTCTTTGGACTGAAGGACATATGCTAAAAGTCACTGGCTAAAAAAGATTTTAATGAAATTTAACAAAACCTTCCAAATTAAAATGTAAACATGTATTTTTGTTCTATTTTTAATTACAGAACAAAAGAAAACAGAATGGCCTTGCATACTGGCACATGCCTTTAATCCTAGCACTTGGGAGGCAGAGGCAGACAAAGCTCTGTGAGTTCGAGACCAGCCTGGTGGTCCACATAGAGTTCCAAGACAGTTAGGGCTATACATAGGGACCCTGTGTAAAAAGAAAAAAAAAAGGAAGGAAAGAGGGAGGGAGGGAAGAAGGGAGGGAGAGGAGAAAGGAAAGAAGAAGAGAAGAAAGGAATAAAAGAGACTAAAGGACTTCAAGTTTTTTTGTTTTGTTTTAAACATCACTTAGCCTTCCTACAATTTTAGGATTCTCTATTTAGACTAAGCATTTTGATATTCATAGATCAAATAATCTTGTGGGCACTCATTTGGAACACCTTGCTCTATATTCCATCCTTCTGGTTATGCCCCCCCCCCACTCGAAAATCCTACTGCAAGGTGTCTTGTTCTCATGTGTCTATTCCAAGGCAATTCTAAAACTCAACAAACACTGCAATCTGATGTCAGTGCAGGCATCTGAGCCAATATTTTCCCATCACCAACCAGCTGGCTATTAGTTCTCTTTCTTATAAAGCTCCTCTCAGAGCTGAGAACCTGTCTACTCTAACCCCCTTTCTGA